ATGTATCTCGAGGGCTACCGTTATCCTCTCTCCGCTTCCTACGGCTGCCATGTACTCCGCTAAGGTGGTGGATATGAAACTCTTCGAGGCACCGGTATCGATGACGGCCTCGACTAGCTCCCCACCCAAGTGGACTAGGGCGTACAGTCGACCGTGATCCTGACGCATGGTTATGGGTGTCTCGGCGCTGGGTTCGGTGGGCTCACCGCGCCTTCTTCTTGGTGAAGCCCTCCGCCGTTTCCCTGACGCCGGCGACAGCATTCGATCGTGCGGACATTGGCTCGACCGCACTCCCAACAGAATATCTTCCGTGCGTTGCGGCATCGCCTGGCATAATGTCCTTCCTGCCCACATCTCCTGCATACGTTGTTGGGGTCGAAGCTCTGGTTTCTGGATAGGTCACGACAATGTGTGTCCGTCGCTGAGCGGTGTGGTGTAACTGGCGGGTGGCGTTGTGTCGTCCGCACCAGTCGGGTGCGATGAGATGGTTCATCCGGTTGAGTGGTGGTCCTCATCGGGTTGTGGCCGGTGACATGCCTTGCCACCTCCCGCCGTGATGTCTCCGTCGTCCGTCTGTGGCCTTCGTGGATACACTCGTACTCTTTCGCGAGCGTGAGTAGTTCAGATAGAGTGGTGAAATCCCGCCGCCGAATGTATAACAAGTAATCGGGGTGACTGTTGCGGAAAATTCTTTCCAAACGCTGCTCGCTGCTATACCCGGCATGTCGCATCAGGTTCTGTATCGCGATTACGTACTCCTTATATTTCTCCCGTGGGTGCTGCCGTCTCTGCCGTATATCGTCCTCGAGGCGTTCGAAATACCGAGTTGGCAGGAAGAAGCGTAGGAAGTCGCGCTTGAAGGTTATCCAGCTACTCCAGTGTTCGTTGTTGTTGCGGTACCAGTGAAGAGCGGTGCCGCACAGCAACTCGGGCATGGTCTTTGGCAGGAGGTCCACGTTCAGGGCGTACACCTCGGCCAGTTCCTCCAGTCGCTCTACAAAAACTAGCGGGTCTCGCCCACCATCATATTTCACTGACCACTTCCTTACCTGGTCGATGATAGGTGCAAACGTGTGGGTTGGTGCTTGATTTGCAGGGTTGGCTGTTCCTGCGTTCGACCCGGCGGTTGTTGTCGGCGGGTGCTGGTGTAGGGGCAGCTGGTGCTGGTACGATGGCACCACCAACTGGCTCCGTGTTGCATTTTCCATGAAATTAGACGTACTCTCCCCACTTTCCTCCGGTGGTACTGGTGTTTTATGCTCATCCTCGTCTTCCGAGGCAGCCTCGTTGTCTCTGTTGGTGATTCCTATCGCCTGGAATTTGGTATGGATCTCTGGGTCGGTGTGCGCCTTAGCCGCCAGTGCCGTTATGCGCTTGCGTATTTCTCGGGCGGTACCCGCGCACTCGATTCCCAATTCCTGTGCGATGGATACTAGTTGCTCCTTGGGTATATCATCTAACCATGCTGTGTTAATCACCTCCGCCATCTTGTTCGTATCAAACATATAATAATTTTCCCTTTACACGTGCACGATTTACCAAGGGTCCCTGCTCGGGCGCCAATTGTAACGAAGCGTTTTATTCGCCCCGCCGCTTCTTCTACAATGCTGGGGTATACTCGCCGTGTCCAGGGTTCGTTACAATAAATTTGTAGTTTNGTTGCTGTGTGATGTTTCGTTGCCATGGTCACAAAGATGCTGTCGTGTGTTGCTACGAGTTGTGTTGCTATGAGTTGTGCTGCTATGAGTTGTGTTGCTTGACTGGCTGTTGTGCGGTGTCGTATTGCCGCTTATGTTGTAGATGTTTGTGTGGGCTGAATTTCATACTGAACATTTAGTCCTCACAATACATTGAAAATAAGCTGAGATAGGGCATTTTCGAATTGGCTGCCGAGATAGATCAATCTTCCACCAAGCATCGATATAGTGTTTTCTAATAGAATGGGACCCAAAATCCAAAATTTCAAAAAAAGTGACATTGTGAACGGTATTTTGAGGGTTAAGTTATTGTTGTTTTAACTTCTCTATAGTTTTCCTACATTACATGGTGATTTATCTTCACGATCCATTGTCCATTATCTCTTTTCTAACCGAAGATCTACGATTTTGAAAAAAACTCGTGTTTTGCCTATAGTGCGGTGCAATAAAATATATAAATTGGTTGCAGCCATATCAATAATATGATAAGAAGATGTGATCATTGGATTTCGGGTCTTAACTCGAATATGGTAGCGACCCATAAGTACGTCCATTAAGTCTACTTCGCCCATGTGTCTATTATATTCCCGTATGATTTGGGGACAGTCCACCTCGAGGTAATTCTTTTGCTTTCGATCATAACAGGCTACCTTTGATTCCTGATAGGATGGGTTTGACCTCAACCCATTTGGCTCGACATGATTAAGCTGGCATTTCAGGGTACTATTTTATATATATATAAGGAAAATTTGAAAGTTAGGGGGGGGATCGAGCCCCCCCCTGCCCCTACCTGGCTACGCCCATGGATGGTGCCTAATTTTTGTGCTACACATCTGCACAAGCGACTTGTTTTTGGTATTGTATGTTGTTGTTGTGGCAGCATACAAGTTCCCCAAAGGGTTTTTGGGGAGTGTTGCTGGAGTGACAGTCCTTGGCCAGATATAAATCTGGGTCATTCCGGTTACGTAGCCCCGACTGTCGTGGGAACGTTTGGTATTGTATCGAACACTTTGGTTCCTTCATCAGCAAGTCCTCTTATACGAAATAAAGGATCGTATCCTGGTTGTCCTCTTTTAATTCGTTGACTTTCATCCTGAAAAGACAGGCACTTCTTTATAAACTTTTTTACAGGCATCGTGTTCTGAATCATTGGAAATGCGTTTTTGCTCCAGTAGCTCTCTAATTTAGGGTATCTATAAAGAGAAATGTACATAAGAATTCCAATATAATACCAAATTTCTTCTGGATTGGTTTTAAAATTTGTATTGATGTTTCCCATATAAGCTGGCAATCAATTGTATTATTTTTTCTGAGAAAAAATAGTTAAACGAATCAATTGCAGTCAACAGCTCTTTTAGTGTTGGTGGCAGTCCGGAGTCTCCCTGAAACGCTACATCATTGACATGCAACTAGATCTGCCTCTTACGCCATGTTATGCTCGAAAATTCTTTTGAATGTTTGTATATTTCATTCAATGCTGAAAAAGAATATGTTTGACTGTTAGAAAGTAAATTTACGTAATAGATACCCCCATTTTAGAGAGGGCATGAACCGCCATTCACAAAAATGCAACCGCCGACCACCTAGGCCCCCTATATCCTACGTTTATACGCACGTATTATTTGCAAATAACTAAATCACGCAAATAAGTATTGATTAGTGGTACTATTTGCAAATAAACGCAAGACGCCGCCATTCTTAGGTCTATTTTCTTTTTCGATGGTCATCTTATTATTCTTCTTCTTTTTTGGCGCTGTAACCACCTAAGCGATTTTGGCCGAGTTCAGCAAAGCACGCCAGTCGTTTCTCCTCTGTGCAAAGTGACGCCAATTGGACACGCCAAGTGAAGCCAAGTCCTTCTCCACCTGATCTTTCCGTCGCAGTGGGGGCCTCCCTCCCTCTGCTACCACCAGCGGTGGATCGTCGGTGTCCATTCGGACGACATGACCAAGCCAGCGGAGCCGCTGTATTTTAATTCGCTGCACTATGTCCATATCGTTGTAAAGCTCATACAGCTCATCGTTCCATCGTCTGCGGTACTCGCCGTCGCCAACGCGTAAAGGCCCGTAAATCTTCCGCAAAATCTTTCTCTCAAACACTCCAAGAGCCGCCTCATCGGATGTTGTCATTGTCCATGCTTCTGCGCCATATACCAGCACGGGCATGATGAGTGACTTATAGAGCGCGGTTTTCGTACGTCGAGAGAGGACTTTACTCCTGAATTGCCTACTCAGTCCAAAGTAGCACTTGTTGGCAAGAGTGATTCTACGTTGGATTTCAATGCTGACATTATTATCGGTGTTAATGCTGGTTCCCAAGTAAACGAAATTCTCTACTTTCTCGAAATTGTAACTGTCAACAGGGACGTGGGTGCCAAGGCGCGAATGTGCTGACTGTTTGTTTGATGACAGGAGATACTTCGTCTTGTCCTCGTTTACCACCAGACCCATTCGCTTGGCTTCCCTATCCAACTTGGAGAAGGCAGAACAGACTTCGCGGTTTTTGTTACCGATGATGTCGATGTCATCGGCATAAGCCAGCAATTGCACGCTCTTGTCATCTTATTGCCTTTATATAATCAAGACGTTGCCATTTTTAACTCATTCATTCATTCATATTATTGCTATTTTATAATCAGGCAATATCAAAAAAAGAAATTTTCACCATCGAATAAACAGTGAGTTAGGTATTTGCAAATCTATATACATATATAATACGCGAAGGCATTTTTTGTACACCATAAAAGATCTGAACCGTTCGTTCGATTTTCAAAAATGGGGTGTCAAATTAAAGCGTTTGGCATGTAGATGTGCAAATTGGTTATATTTTTTCGAAAACGAGTTGCCACCTGTTTAATAATTAAACTCAAGTTTTTTACTAATCAATGCCCTCAGATCCGCACCGTCCGTTCGATTTTCAAAAGTGAGGTACCAAATTAAAGGGCTTAGGGTGTGGATGTTCAAGGTTTTACTTTTTCGGAAAAGTTGCCACCTGTTAAGAAATTAAGCTCAAATTAATTAAAAATTTAAATCAATTATTAAATATGGGTATCAACCGAAATGGGTTTGAAAAGGCTTTATTACTTAACTACGTATAGGAGGGTTGCCACATGTTAAAAAAATGTTATTCAATTTTAATTAAAGGAATTTGGTATCGCTATATGGGTGTCATACAAAAGAGGTTTAAGAAGGTAAAAGTTTGGAAATATTTTGAATAGGGTTGCCACCTATTTGAGAAGTCTAATTGAACTATTTTATACCCAAGTTATATGAAATATTAACGATTGGTGTCAAATGAAAAAGCTTCAAGAAATACTTAGTTTGACAATTTAGAAAATATTTGATGTGTTTGAGGGCTGCCCCAGTTTAAAGGGCTAAACTAAAATATTTAATAAGTTAAATGAATTGCTAACCGATGGTTATCAATGGAAATGGATTTTAAAATCCTTTATTTAAGAACTATATTTAGGAGGGTTGCCACGTGTTTAAAAAATAAATTTCCACTTAATTCATCAGTTACTTGAAATATTTATAACAATGTCAGACGAAAAATATTTAGAGAATAGTTCGAAAATGATGTTTAAGGGGGTTGCCGCCTGTTTTGAAAGTGGTAAGTTACATGAAATTTTAAAATATGGTTATCAAAAGGACGACTGTTAAGAAATCTTTAAATTAAACATTTGGTTTTTTTTGCTGAAAAAAATTAAGCTCAAATTATTTAATAAGTTAAATGGATTGTCAAAAGATGGGTATCAATCGAAATGGGTTTGAAAATAATTTATTTCTAAACTGTATTTAGGAGAGTTGCCATGTGCTTAAACAATTAAATTCAACTTAATTCATCAGTTAATTGAAATATGTTTAACAATTCCAGTCGAAAGATTTTAGTTTGAAAATACTTTTAAAGGGGTTGCCACCTGTTTGAAAAGTCGAATTTGTTTTACTTATACGAAAGATATATAAATGAAATATCGAAATATTAATGTCACACGAAAGAGTTTTAAGAAAGCTATAGGCTGATAATATTTTTAATTAGAGTTGCCATCTATTTTTTTTTAAGGTCATCACATCTGCACCGTTATTTCGAATTTCCAAAATGATAAGTCAAATTAAAGTACTGGGATTCTACATAGATGTGCACAGGTTTTATTTTTTGAAGTTACAGGGAGATTTGAAATTTCATGATATGAAAACCGACACCATGCGAGACCTCTCATCACTGAGAAATGGCTTAGATTAATCATTAGGAATATTATTAGGGGTTTTTGAATAGGGTTTCACCTGTTTAAAAAATTTAATTAAATGTTGGCNCATGATATGAAAACCGACACCATGCGAGACCTCTCATCACTGAGAAATGGCTTAGATTAATCATTAGGAATATTATTAGGGGTTTTTGAATAGGGTTTCACCTGTTTAAAAAATTTAATTAAATGTTGGCGTTTTGACGCCATGCGGGTTCACTAGTTATTTTTATTTGCAAATAGCTTACGTATAAATGTAGTAAATATGTAACAAAATCACAAACCGATACGAATTAGCAGCTAATAGTTATTTACGTTGAACTGTCAAATGACCGAATTAAGAAGAGGCGGGTGGTTAACCCACCGAGCAATTATCCACAATATTTTTGCGAAAAACTACTACGAGTTATGTGCAAAAATACAGTGGATGACGTAAGGGGTTTCGGCCCCGTTTCTTTCGCAACACAGAAAGGAGAATTCTACTTAGTACGGGTTATAATCCCTAAGCGCGGCCAAAGACCGCCTACGCAGAACCTTCGCAAAAATACTGTGGATAATTACTCGTTGGGTTAAACACCCGCCTCTTCTTCATTCGGCTATTTGACAGTTTAACGTAAATAAAGGCGCTGGCCCAATGCAGGCTTGCTTTGCTTGCTTAGCTTTGAAAACTGTCAAAAGTTATTTGGAACATACTAAAACGTATGAAGGGTGGCCAAATGGCCGCTTTGCTTCACTTGCTTTAAGCGCCTCAAAGTTTCAAATAGGCAAATGTTTTATTTGAAAGCGTTTCGTAGGCTTTTGACAAAAAGATATGTTCCCGTTCTAAATCAATTCAAACAAACTGCTGCAGACTTTTATGTACAAAAATTGTCTTACGTAATTTAAAAAAATATATGTATAATATTAGTAATTCAAAGTTTAATAAAAAGTAATCTATGTTTCCATATTTATATTTAAGATGTCGCTGGATAAAGTAAAAAGTTGTTAAGTACAATTTTACAAATTTTACAGGAACTTTGAATACATTATTTTGCGTGTTTAAAGCAAAGCAAAACTCCATATAAATCAGAAGGATTCGTTCTCTGTTAAAAAATTTCGTATTATTTTCAGGGACCGTAACGGTTATAAGTTTTATTATAAAAATCTCTTTTTAATCGTTATTAACTGAGTTTTATTTTTTGCTCGGAAAATAACCGTTACGTTTTAAGTTTTATTCTTTGCTCGGAAAATAATGGTTACGTTTTAAGTTTTATTTTTTGCTCGGAAAATAATGGTTACGTTTTAAGTTTTATTTTTTGCTCGGAAAATATCGTTATTTCTTGAGTTTTATTTTTTGCTCAGAAAATAAAACTTAACTTTTGCGTATGCGTATGCGCTTTTTTGCACTATTTCTTTAGAAATGTGGTTCTCTTTGTTTCTGCCCTGGTATCTGTATTTTCATTACCAACTCCACAGTGGCGTTAAAGGTTCAATGCAGCCGCCCCCTGTCTATTCACGTATGTGCGTATGTCATTTGAGGCTTCATAAAATGTAGACTTATCAACTTTTCACACAAAGCTAGCGATATTTATGACGTCAGTAATTTATGATTAATGATGTCAAATTACTGGTAAGTCGTCTCTTGAAAAATCGATTTTTTTTTTTTAGTTTTTTGTTTCTAATAAATGTACACATAGGTTTAAATGTATGTATGTATAATTATTATCATTTCTTTGAAATGCAAAATTTAATTCACATTCATTTAAAAATAAATCTGAAAAGATTGTTTTGTATTTATTTTTTTTTTAATTTTCTGGAATTTTATGGCAAAATGATTCTTAGTGTAAGGAAACAGATCTTGACTTTTTAACTACACAGCTGGCTGCTTTGACAGCGTTCCAAGCCGCCATTTGGCAAAACGAGTTTTTGAAGTAAATCAAAGCAAATTAAAGTAAGCAAGGCGTGCAAAGCAAGCCTGCAATGGGCCAGCGCCTTAACTCTTAGCTGCAAATTCGTATCGGTTTGTGATTTTGTTACATATTGTTGAAATATTGTTTTTATTATCCCTAAACTATGTATATATGGGTCAATCCATGCAAAATTTACACTAAAAATTTTTTTCCGCTCAAATTATTTTTCTTTGCATTCTTCGGGTAAAATTTGACACGTATTTTTTTATTTTAATTTGACACATACAGTTTCCGACATATATTTTTTTGAACTTTAAGCATGCCAANATGGGCCAGCGCCTTAACTCTTAGCTGCAAATTCGTATCGGTTTGTGATTTTGTTACATATTGTTGAAATATTGTTTTTATTATCCCTAAACTATGTATATATGGGTCAATCCATGCAAAATTTACACTAAAAATTTTTTTCCGCTCAAATTATTTTTCTTTGCATTCTTCGGGTAAAATTTGACACGTATTTTTTTATTTTAATTTGACACATACAGTTTCCGACATATATTTTTTTGAACTTTAAGCATGCCAAAAAATAACTTTTTAATATATGCTCCGCGAAAACAAGCATTTTAATAAAAAACAAACTTAATCATCGTACCATTTATGACTTTTTCTTGGCTTTCATATGAGAAGTCGATACAATTATTTTTTAATACAACAAATTGGATATTAAAAAAATAATAACAAATTAATTTTTTTTTTCAAATTTAGTAATGATTTTTTTTTTTATATTTTATTGAAAACTGTTCTTCAAATACTTATGTAAAGCCTGTAAAAATTTCAGAATGGGTAGTTCAAAATTACGCTTATAATCAAATTTTAAATAAGTGCGAAAGCGCTAAAAACGCGCGCTCTCCTTGGCGTGCACCATCTATCTATGTACTGAATGTAGTTATTTATTTTTTATTAGGGTTCTAATTACGCCCTTCTACAATAATGAATATGAATATCTACATTTTATTTGCTGAGGCACGCCTTTTCCCGGTTTTACAAAGCTTTCTATTTTGAAATCGTTACATCGTGCGTGCCTGATATAGGGCTTGTTCGAGTTGCAATCACAACAGCTGTGTTGCACGATTTCTTAAAGTATCACGTTCGATGTGAAATTGTGGCAACATTGGCAAAAGCATCGCGTTCTAACTGTAAAAAATTCGGAAATTGTTGCGCGCAAAGTCAAGTAAATCGGCATCACAAATTTTTTTGTTTGCACGATTGCCATGGAAGACGAAAGGTGAGCAAAATAGTTTATATTAAAATGTATTATTTTTAATTTATCATATACATATACATTATCTAACAATATTTGTGTTTATTGTATATTTCAGTGAAAACCTGAGCAGCACTTTAAATAAATTGCTAATACGGTGTCGGCTAGATATGGAGCCGGAATTCGTTGCAGGAAAAAAGAAAAAATCGGTCCTCTGGGGCAAAGTCCTGGTGAAAATGAAAGAGGTGAACCCTGAAATCACGCAGTCGAAAGAAGTGATCCAAAGAAAGTTTTTGAACTTGCTGGCGTCATATAAAAGGATCAAAAAGCGGAACAACTCAACTGGGAGGGATGCCACAACATGGGATTTTTATGATGACTTCGATAATGTGTATGGCAGGCGACACTCCATTCAACCTCCAGAGCAAAATCTGCAGTCCTCTCTTCCAGGATTGAGTGAAATAAATGTTAATGAAAATGAGAGTGATTCGGATGGAAGAGACTTTGAAACGAGTGTTGCAAGCACGCCAAGAAAACGCAGTAAGCCTTCAGCAAATGAAACACTTGTATTCTTCAAGGAAGAAGCTGCCAATGAACAAAAGCGCCATGAGGAAGTATTGAAGTTGGAAAAAGAAAAATTGGAAATTGAAAAGGAGAAAATTAAAGCCATGGAGGAGTTGAGAAAAGTGTTAGAGATGAGGACGCGGAACTGAGTCATATAACAAAACTTTATTTTTTTT